TGTATGATGTAACATCACTGGCGAGATCTAGAGAGAAACAGTGATGTGACACATTAATGACCATTAGTATTCTTGTTGGTTCAGGTGTCGTCTTCCTTGCTCTCATTTTAGATCAGATTGTTAGATCATAGCAACATGTTGTTGTTTATTCCACTATAATGCTGTAATTACGCAGTGATGCATCAATATTGTTACAGAGCAATGAACATCCACCGTATAATTTCATCACAACAATATTATGGTGCAAAGAACAGTCAGCATGTTACTACGTCCCAACTGTATTACAGTGCAATGAACTGCAAGCATTTAATAACAAGCTACATGTTGTCTCTCCATTCTACTATACCTCTTTGTGGATGTAGTCACATGCTGCATGTTGTCTCTCCATTCTGTTTTTTTGGATGTAGACACATGCTTGTTGCACGAACAAACTGTTAGGACCTATGAGGTGCAATCACAACACAACCTGAAGGACATGATGTACTCTGTTCACGGTCCTTTATTTCAACTATATTTACATATACTGACCGGTTTCGCCCGGTGGAGAGCTTCGTCAGGGCAACACAAGGAAGCGAAATGTCGGCTCCTCTCTCGCTTTTCTGCATAGTGACAGAGCTCTGGCTTTCATACTGGGCTTATATGAGACAATCTTCTGATTAATTACGAGGACCTCTACTCGCCATTAAGGATTCATGACGACACCCTTTCTGAACCAGACAATTCAGAGTATGTCATAAGCCAAAGTTAGTACAAATTTGTTTGTGAAAGCACACTGTGAACATTCTGCTAAATATTGTATAAGCTGTTGTTCAGCTTTGTTGTGAGGTATTTACGCTAATGCCTGATGGTGTCCGTCTACAGATTTCGTCACGACATAGAGCCCATTAAAAGGTACGAGCAGGGGTCACGCGGCCCTATTAGAGGTGTGCGTTGCCAGTCTGTATGCATCATACACATCACCAACCCGTCACAGTCGCACGCCAAATAAGTGGTCAGCTACAGAGTGTCCCCGTACACAAAGTTCCCAATAGCAAATTGCTATATGGCAGACCAAGGAACACGCAAAATGGCTCCGGGGAAACTTGTCACGGACGCTGTCAACATCCCCAGCAGTAGGGTATCCAATGGGGAATTTTGACTTCAATATTATCCCATAATCTTTCACTTTAAGACAGTTTTGAGTAAGTCGTCTTGTGAACCGTACTTTTGTGTTCATAATTCACATATGGATATCATCCCTATTTCAATAGCAACTCATTTATAAGCGATATTATATTGCGCCTTTAGAACTGCTTTATGTCAAATTGAGTTAATAGTAATAACGTATGTGTCTGTGGTATATTTCATGTGCACGAACAATTGATTTATCAACAGAAAAGAGAAACTCATTCTGAGGCGTGGTATCATGCAGACAACAGTTTATCAAAAATAAACTTTCCTTTGGTTTAAGAAGTAAATTCTTTGATATACATTGTACCCATCTCGATACATATTGGATTTTCCTCCCAACGAGATATAAACTGTCGGCGAAAAAAGTCGACATCAGTTATTTGCAATGTGTGATACGCGGTATTATGTTCTATTCATAAATACAATGTAATACAGAAAACAGCAATTCTTTAAAACGGTTTTACTGAACTCACAAGTGAATAGCAATTGAAAGTAAGGTGACATCTTATCCAAACAATTGAAGTATGCCGCATCATACAGCTGTGATGCTAAATATCTATCAACCCAAATAGTGAATATTTAATCAATTACAGAGAGGAATGCCAGTCACATTGACATATTACATACATATACATGTAGTATAACATATTTGAGTGATTTGTTTGACCTCAATTACAGCGAAGATATATATATATGCATTAACTATACATCTTATGCATTTTGAGAAGCGTTTTATATACTCTAAACGTAGTCGCAGTCAGATTTTCAGCAAAGTAGCGCAATAATATGTTCGTGCATCCTCAATAGTTGCTCTTTTACCCAAGATTAAAATGTCATTAGCACAATTTTCTTTTAGCAGTGTCCGTTTACTGCCAAAAGCGCTGAAATAAAAGAACATATTAGCAGTGATCTATGTTGTGGATAAGTGATAATGACCACTTTGTTTATTTTTTTGTGTTTTTTGTTTTTGCTCAGAATCCACAAAATTGTATTTTAAAGATAGTGTCTTGTTTTAGTCATATATTATTGAAAAAACTGAAATGACATGGTCCATTTTAGGTTGATTAGAATAAGTTGTTATAATATTGATATACACATGTGACAGCCTTGATTCGTGAATAGAAATCACAATCTCAGCATTTCATGTAAATATCGATTATCCTTATCTGTTTTTATTTAAATTTTACCGATTCATTCCAAAATCAAATATAACTATCTATTTAATTTACTCTGTTATCGATGTATTTGACATATGGTCACGGAGATCTATTTACATAAACATGTATATAATTCATGTAAAACTCAGGATAGAGAACAAAAGTTGACCAGCATGTCTGTGACTTTGTTCAAATAGACTTTCACAATGACAGCCAAATGAACACACAGCAAACAAACCGAAAACTCAACGCAAAGCACACTTGAATTATTGGTCGAAGGTATTGGTGCTGGGTTCTTATTTACATCCAAATAAACTCAATGTTGATAGAAAACTCTTGCCAATATTAGTTTTTATCCAGCTCGATCTCAGACTTTTATTTGAGAAATAACTGAACAGAGAACACTATAAAGACATTTTTTAGTTAAAATCTCATAATACACAATTGTAATGATGAAATATAAGCTTTATGGCTTCACAACGACTTCAGAAATAAGGCTAGAGAGGACTAAGTGAAAGTGGCGTGCACGAAGGAATCTATTATGACGAACTTCGACATTATCACCCCATGGGAAATGACGGGGTGTTACACAGGGTCTGAATGATCAGTGATCTCGTTAGTGTTATTGGCTATTACATCCAAGTCTCCTTATTTCAACATCAGACACCAAAGTTTCATGATCCGTTCGTGCAGGCATATCTACATATTAGTGAAAGTGACAGTATAGCTCACATCCCGACACGATACCAGGTGTGATGTTGTCACGATATCTCTCATTTACGCTATGTGGTTCCATGGATTACTACGTTTAACTAGGTAGCAATAAGTTGTTTCATGTGAGACTGTGTAATATTCAATAGAGTCTCTTGGTACCCTGAATATGATTTTAATTATTTTAGAGAAATTCTTGAAAAGGAACTATATTTACCGTGTCATTGTCTTGAGACTTTTAGTGAGTATTCTATCACATGAATATAACCATGTCATATACAATGTGTATCATGAACTCTCGACGAAGAGAAATTGTCTATAGAAAGTCGCGGTTCGATTTCAGGTCAGTAAAACTCGTCAAACAACGAAGTACATTACTGACTGATCAGAGCGGTCTGTTACCCGATTTCTCATCAAAAAACCCGTGTCATTGTAGATCGCCAGTGTTCTAACGTCAAATGTCAGAGGGCACACCTGGACGCCAGGGATGTACGCCAGCATGTCCCTCTCATAAACGGAAAATGTCAGAGAATACATAACGCACGGATCTCACCGAGCGATGTAGACACATGTTACAGCCCGTGATTTTTTTTAAACATACCCTATACCAACGGGTCCCTAATTTTAACTCCAGAACGTCAAAGGTCAGCAGCATTCGACACTTGGTGAGAGATGGATGATCTTTAACATTATGATTGGGCGGTTTGATCGCAGTGCTATAATCCCGTGCAGATATGACGATTTCTCTTAACACTCCGCGTGTTTCTGTTGTAGAATATCAGTTTGTCACATGTTCCCGAGGGAAAAGGATATTGTTATGACATAATACTATCTCGGTGAGCCATTCATTATAACGTTACAGAAATTGCGAGCGTGAATGGAAATAAACGTGTTGCGTAATGGATTTCCAATGTACACGAACCATGATCTATTTGGGAACATATTCGCAGACTGACAATGACAGCATTTTCATCCGAAAAAATGGCAACACATTTTGGAATTGGCATTTTTTAGTAGTGTTTGTCGAGTAATTGGACACAATGCCCTACTGATAGTTGGATGTACAATTTCCTTGGGATTAATGTCTAAACATTTTATGAGAAATTATGTTGAAAAAATATTGAAACTTCTAAATCAGATATAAAAGATACACAATAAAACCATGCAGGGCAATACACAAAATTGCTGTTTGACATTTACCGTCGCGGTCTGTTGGCGGAAACTATTAATGATATTTCCTGTCCATGTAAAAGAACGGTTACAGACCCGCTATATTCCCAAGTCAAATCGGAAACGTTGGGATAAAAGTTGTTTTTTTAACCATCATATTTACTGTAGTACGAATTTCATTTCGTTACTTCTATTGTTTATTTGCCGATATCTATAGAACGCGTCACACATGACAGTGTCCTCATTTAACTTCTCTTTCTCTTTACAGGGGCGTCCCGTTGTCACAGTTAAGCAATTTCCGGTATTATTGTGGTACCAGAACATACACGTCACCAGACCAATGGATCAGCGATGGCCATAGTGGATGTTTCATCAACGCCCGGCCCTACACATAATAGACTTGGGATTATCTTGGTACTATATCGGTCGTGGAGTGCCGAATCACAGCCATGTCTGTAGTGCAGTGACGGTGTAGAGTGAGACAGTGACGATTCGTTAATTAAAACCGTGTCCTCTTACTCTGTCACTGTCAAGTGTACATCTGTGTATTCTGACCAAAGATGTGGATTTGCGCAAGTATTGCAATGCGTTACGTGATATGATTATGTGATGTCCACAATGATGTACGGCAGCGTCCCATTTAATAAAACTTCGACATCCTTATATATCACGGGATATGGACTGATTCTAAATGAGACGGACATGTATAATACCACTTTCTTTTCAAACGAAAGTTTTGGAAATGTTTCTAATTCGTCTGAGGGCGGCGTTGCGGCGGTACCAATGTGGTATGTTCCCCGTTACAGTTTTCCGATCTTCCTTTTCATCGTTATTCTTCTGGGAATGATGATCATTTCGACAATAATTGGAAATGTGTTCGTCATAGCCGCGATCTTAATGGAGAAAAGTCTTCAAGGTGTTTCGAATTATTTGATATTGTCTCTCGCTGTTACTGATTTAATGGTAGCAGTTCTTGTGATGCCGATAAGCCTCGTGAACCAAGTAAGTATATTCTGGTATCTTGGAGCCCATTTGTGTGATATGTGGATTTGTTTCGATGTTTTGTGCTGTACTGCATCCATACTTCATCTCGTGGCTATTTCGCTTGACCGGTTCTGGGCTGTATCTAATATAGACTATATAAGAAGGAGATGTGCTAAACAGATATGTATCATGATAGCAATTGTTTGGATTGTGGCGGCCATAATTTCCATTCCTCCAATATTTGGATGGAAAGACCCCGGAAACGACCCGGATGTCCTAGGTGTCTGTATGATAAGTCAGGACCTAGCTTATACAGTGTTTTCGACAGTTGGGGCATTCTATTTCCCTATGACATTGATGATTGTGTTAAATTTGAAGATTTACATGGCAGCCCGGTCACGGATTAGACGGAAACATTTCAGTGGTATCGCCCGACCAGTCGGTTGTCCGACAATTACGAAGGCCGAGGCGACTACAAGAAATAATTCTTCAGGAAGTGATGTCAGCCACGACGAATACACAGTGTATAATGGGTCATGTATTAATGAGGAAACCGCAATGAACGTTTCTGAAACAAACGGTACCGTGACAGTAAATGGAGGCGAACAATACTTAGCAGTGCCATCAGCTGTGTACATTGTAAACAAACAATTGGGAAGTTCAAACGCGAGAGTAAACAACAATAATCACAAAAGGATTCGACAAAGGGATAAAGAACGGTCAAGAAAAGCGAAAGTTGAAATGAAAAGGGAGAGAAAAGCTGCACGTGTATTAGGGATTATTACTGGATGTTTTATAGCTTGCTGGCTGCCTTTCTTTTTCGGGGCCTTACTGGGGCCATTTTGTGGCGAGGGCTGTTTCCTGTCATTGGATATGATGAGTACATTCTTATGGCTTGGGTACTTCAATAGTTTATTGAATCCAATTATTTATACTATATTTAATCCTTCATTTCGAACAGCCTTTCGCAAATTAATTTACAGAAAATATCGTTATCGAAGGTAACAGTTTACCAGTATATACATAATATTGAAGGTGGCGCCGCCATCAATCATGCTTTGAGAAGGGTGAGTCGATTGTAAAGGAGTTACTTTCAGTAATGACCTGAAGTCCGAAATATTTGTGTCGTAATGTACATTATTTTTCTGTTTTATACTGAATTCATTCAAATCGATAAAATTTTATTATTTTATAAAACAGAAATGGAGCCGTTCTGTTGATAAACGATGATAAACAAATACCCGCAGCTCCTCCTGTTCCTACGGATGGGTCTGAATGTGAGTTTTAATTCGAAAATGGAAGTGTTTGCTGGTGTGGAGTGTTTGAGGGAATCTCCAGACGAGGATATGGCTACGGTTGTTAGTGTGTGTGGATATGCAGGTTTTGGTGGTTTCAAACATTCCGGTGTGTTCGAGACCAACAAAACAAATATAAATACAGTTCCAATGTAGAATAGATAGACCATGAAGATCAGCAGCTTAGGGCTTCTATCCAATTAACAATTTGAGACTGGCTGAGCAACTTAAACTGAAGACAACATCACACCAGTGTTGTCACTATATACCCCCTATGATGCTGACCTGATGGTTATCTGTTCAACAGTGGAATTGATGCGGTAAAGTATGTTTGGATTACTGTCAGATATTTCCGACATTGGTTTCAAAAATTTATATTGTACTTAAGGCCTTTCGGTTGGAGACTAGCGCCAAACACACTGTACAGTGTTAGCCGCGTGCCACTAGTCAGCTAGGGTTATTTGTGAATTTATTTTTAAAATTCACGTGCTTATTTCATTTTATAAAGATATTCTCTTTTCAATTCCACGTTTTCAAGATTCTGGAGGGTTATTCCAGATGAGATGAATATATTCTTGCGGTGAGAATGCGTCGCTTTAGATGGGTTCTTACAAAATATTTTTAGTACAGAAATATCTACTTCATATTAAAATATATTGTGCGATCTTTAAATTGCAGTGTAGTGAGTAAATAAATGAAATATGTTAAATATTTTGTAAATGGGGCCACAGCAAATGATATAAGTGAGTTCCAGTGCGAGACGTTTATTTTACAGGTAAAGCCGGCCCCCTGTGCCTCTTAATATTGTCACTATAGATTAACAATGTATGTTGATAAATACATCTAAATTGTTTTACATCTGTGATCTGTGGAATACTGCACCTTTGTTTGATAATCCTATAATCCTATACAGTTTTGTGACAGCACTTTCCTTTTGTTAGGATATCGTCTGTGTCATGCATGTAACCTATTCTGTAACTTGTATGCATTTCAACCTATACATACATACTGATGCAATATATTTTGATAAACCACATAACTTGTACATGGGTTTAGCACCGTTGTATAAGTAAATTCTTTATTAAGAATTGTCAGGAATCATATTGTATATTTTATCAGAAAACGCTTTGTTACAGCATTGCATTGATTTAATCTGATATCTTGTTTTTGAATGCATGATTTCATTTTAACAACAGACACAAACTTTGGATACCTGTAAATGCTGTTTATCAAAGACACAAACCTGTTTATGTTGTTAAATTATGTCTCCATCTGACAATTTCCCCAGTCTTTCTAACCTTCTTATATCATGACTTTTGTCCCCTTGCTGTATATATCAAGTTCGAATTAATTGTACATAAAATGTAATGTATGTATGGACCACCAGATGTAAGTTTTTTCCGAATGAGAACAAAGTGATATAGATTTGTTGATAGCGTGACAATTGAATAATTAATGACTTGTATATGTACACAATATTAAAAAGAAAATAATTGTATATAACTATTTTTACAAATGATTTATTGTGCTGTTAATAAATGTTGAAAACCCGATCATTGGTCATTCATTCATGGGTGCCCTACACCACCTCCAATACGTCCTTTTTTGGGGGCGCCCCATAACTACCTGTTGTCATTATTTACTATCAAACGCCCTAAAACCTATCATTAACATCCCCTTTGAGCGCCCTATAACCTGTCACCAATTACTTCCTCGCTGAGCGTCCAATAACCTGTCATTATTAAGTTCCTCGCTGAGCGCCCTATATCTTGTCACCATTTACTTCCTCGCTGAGCGCCCAATAACCTGTCATCATTAAGTTTCTCGCTGAGCGCCCTATAACTTGCCATCATTAAATTCCTTTCTGAGCGCCTATAACTTGTCATCGTTTAGTCCCTCTTGAGCGCCCTATAACCTGTCATTATCAAATCCGCCTCTGAGAGCCAATTATCTTACAATGAAAATTGATTTATTTCTGTACCTCTATGACCTAGCATACGATCATTACATTTAATTTGTTTTTTTTGTCCTGAAACAAAGCAATGCTATATGTCATGACGTCCCTTCCATTTTTCATCTGTTAGTGTCTTATCTTGTACTAACGTCGGGGTCGTAATCTATCAATGTCATGATATTGGAGTATTGAATTCATGCAGTAATATCATTGACTCGTTTTAGACATCTTAAAATGACATAAATATGAGTGTGTGAGCGTCCTCAAATGTCATTGTTATGACGTCCTGCTTGAATATATATCATAATTCCTGCATTGCAATTATAAATACCTCTATGTCGTAATCGATTGATAGACAAACTACTTGTAAAACCGTGTAGCCGGGTTTTTTTTGGCGGGGTGATATACTCGCTATTTCGCGAAACAATAAAATGATCACGAAAATTAATCCGTGAAATAATGAGACACGTGCGTATAAGATGTTCTTTTTACATCAAGAGCGCGAAATTTTAATTCGTTGAAATATCATTATGTTGTTTTAAAAGTAAATCGCGAAAATTTTGACCCGCTAAAATTACCAGCTGTACGGTATAATGCTATTGGTGGAGGGTTTCATTTGTGTTTCTTACCTATGTAACCTGCACCAATATTAATATTTCATACTTATGTAATGGCCCATTAACATTCTCGGATTGGTTGTTCTGAAAGTCAGTTCAGTGACATCGTTACATTGTATAGACAATGATAACTGCTTCAGGCTTAAGGTGCCAGGTTGTACTCAGTGTATGAGTTGTATCTGTTTTAATGACTACTTTGAAGATCTTCGGTTAGGTCTTCAATGTGCCCCGTTTGGTGATAAACTGTGATATATAGTATTGGGTTACATAGTAGTTGAACACCAGGCGGGATCCTGGTCTTAAAGAATTCCTGACTGTAACTGTTAATGCATAGCGAACGACTTGGGCATGGCCACATTATTCTTATCATCCAAGCAATATGTTGGTGATTGTGGTACAGCTTTGATAGGGTGACGCACCCATTTCGTGTGATTAAGTGCAATCAGATTATATAAACAACATATTAGATGACTAGAATAAAAAAGTCACTGTAATACACGTGTTCGGAATTTATATAGGTTATCATTACGATCACGTCCTATTTATTTATACTTGTTTCTTGTTTATAAATGTGAATCTGTTATACATTTACGTACCACCCAGACATACCACATCTAACAAAGCATTTAAGTGTACGCGTAACACGACACGTGTTACGTACGTGATGAAGGTAAAGTGTCACGTGTGGATGCTGCAATAGATATATTTGTATCATGTAGCACGTGACATTTACAAGTGTGCTTTGTACGATAAATACAATAGTCACGTGCGTTGAATGCAACGTACATGTTCTTCATCATCTGTGTCATCCTTTTGTCTATAGTTTAAATGTGCAACGTTCCAAAATAAACGGCTACAATACATGTTTGTTATGTGATTGATGTTTCTTTCTGTTTTTATTGGTAAACGATAATACTGGCTGCTAACACGAAAACTGTCAGTAAATAGTTAATGTATCCCCGAGTGGGATCTGTTTCAAATGTTTACGATGCTTTGTTTCGTTTATCATGGTTGATTTTACATTTTTTTCAGATTTCTAGTTTCATTTCCTTAGTTTTAAGATTACCTGGCGAACTGAACTGGCGAATCTAAGTAAGGAAGTATCACATGATATATGTATGTAATTCTTGTTCTTCACCAGCAAAAGTCTGACGATCTTATAAAGATATATTCTGGTTTAGACTCCGATCGGAAATATTGCGCACGGTAAAATCAACCTGTTCTATGTTATAGGGAAATACATATATACAAACAATATACTTATATGTGTAATATAATTGAAATAAAATACCTTGTTACACGAAGAAGTTTAAAACGCATTTAAGAATAGACTCGTACAAAGTTGTAAGGAGAAAAAGAACGTATTGGGTAGTTTTGATAAAATGTAGACGCATAGATGTTATGGGTAATTTTACCACGGATAAAAGTATTTAGATTACATCTATACCATGTATTGTAACGTACGAGAACCTAATATTCTACTCTATATTTAATATTTACTTCCGACGATTTGGATTGTCAAACCTTAGACTCCTAGCATCACTGTACGACGAATCCTAAAAGTTTACAAAATATATATTTGTTGCTATAAATTTACTGACATATACCGTAATTATAATTTTTTCATCAAAATTTGTTATCAATTTGTACGTATATATATATACAAGTGTATTTATATCCTTTTCCGTATAACAGAAAGACTGAATATATTGCTTTACCATTTTTATTGTTGTAGATGTCACATCGTAAAGCGGAACCATTTATCTCATGATACTGTGAAATGGGTAATTTTCGTGACAGATTTATTATCGTCGATTTCGTGGGTACAATTAATCCGCGAGCTGAATGCTCACGAAATGATAAAAAATTAAGTACAAATGCTTTTTCAATACTAGTGGAATTCAAGATTTCTGTATTCATAAAATCAAGTTTCAACGGAAATGTAGTTTTAATGGAAATCCACAAAATTTGTGCCCACCACGCTTTTACAGTTGACATGTTTTTATTTACAAGACGAAACATCATCATATCACTTTTACAGATTAAACCATGTTACTTGGTACCTGCAATATGTTTATATTTACACAACGAAACATCATCATATCACTTTTACAGATAAGACCATGGTACCTGGTACCT